TCCTCCTCTCTCTCTCTCTCTCTCTCTCTCTCTCTCTCTCTCTCTTTCTCTCTCTCTATCGCTCCCTTTGTGTGTGTGTGTGTGTGTGTGTGTATGTCAAAGTTTCTGAGTACTCTCTCTCTCTTTCTCCCATCTTTTCTTGTCCAGGTGCTTTTTGGATGGAAAAACCATGGTTCGAAAGGGCTAATTTTGTATTATTAATGTTTTTTGTCAAAAAAAAAAATCCAGACAATTCAACCTTTTGATTTTGGGAAATATATGGGTGTTCATTTATGGATTATTATCATTATTTTTATTTTCTTTCTAATTTTAGGAGATTGGAGTCTCGACCTGACATGATGTATCCCTGTTTCCTTGTTAAGGAGACTGAGATCCATTAGGATCATTCTTCCATTAATATTATGGATCTCTAACTCTGGGTTGTTTATCGAACTTGTTCCTACTTCAGACTAATAATTACCACTATAGTATATATCCCATGAGCAAATGTTAGTGTGAGAATTCTACTAAATAAGTTACGCACTTGATTCTTTTTTAGGATCCATAAAAAAGAGAAGTTATGGAGTGTAACATGACCACTTAGAAGGTGGCTGTTGGAAGAGGCAGTGACATGTAACACGCTAAGATAGAGATCATAGATATTGTGAACCATTTAGTTTTATATATTATAACTTAAAAGAACTTGTGACGGTCTTCGTTATATTGGAGCGGTCTCTGAGTACTGGGAGGCAGAATAACTGGATACATGGTGAGGAAATCATTGAGTTTGTCCCAAGAAGCCTATTACATTTGTGCCTATAGGATTTAAAATAGAAATGTCAAAGGTATAAGTTTATTTCCACCCTAAATACAAAATGGATGAAATATCCACTGATTTGTGTTTAACTGATGAAAGAAAGGACTGTGCATGCCTAAGTTAAGAATAATGCTCTCCTTTTGGGTTGATTAACGGGGATTGGGAACTTGACCCTCTCACCCTAAACCCGTATATAAAACTCTGAACCTCAACTCAAATACTGCTTCATAGTGGAAGTGGGGTAGATAATTGTAATCCTATAATGTGCATTAGCATGCACATAGTTGAACATTGAGGTGAATTTGAGGAATCAAGTGTTAGGTTCATGCCTTTGGCCATGAGGGCTGTCTCACCCCATGATATCTTCATATCCGAAGGGTATTTATTTTCTTCGCTTATTTACTTGTTTGCACGAAATTGCTTTATCTTATGCTAGTTAATGGTTAATAGGAAATGTGCTCTACAATTATTTTGCATGAAAGATTAATAAGAAGTGGGGAAGTATGATACTGTATCATTCTTATGGTGGTTATACCTGACCCTGGTTATTAGTTACTCATGCTATTCCATTCACTCTCTGCATGTTTCTCTGTGCTTTCATATATCACTACTATTCTCTTCATCACTAAAAAGTTAGTTTTTGCCTTTTGTTTTGATTGAATAGTTTTTGAACAACCCATGCAGATTTCTTTGAAGTTTGGCCATAACTCAGGACTGTGAAAAGAAGGGGTTGCCCCTTACTCCCATTGCTTTAAGAATGGTCAGTATCCTTTCCTGTTGAACAAAGTTGATATTTGTTTGCTTTCTATACACACACAAAAAAAGATTTTTAATTAGTGAAAACTGCTTCTTGTTTTTGCTATTCATATACTCTTTCCCCCGAGTAGCATGATTTCTTTTCTGTGACATTTATTCTTTATAAATGTTAGTGCTTTGTAATGCATCAGGAATGATTATAAATTCTGTTCATTCACCTCACGTAGATCAATATTTAAAGAACATTGTTCTTGTATATTATTCTTATTTTTGTGTCTCTTGTCTCCCACATTTCCCTCTCACATATAAATATAATGATTGCTGTGGTGACTGGAATTGTAGTTTCTGCTTCAAGGTCACAAAGAAAATCTATTTGTCCCTCCCTTCCTCCCATACACACAAGTCATAATTTACAAATTGATTATTTATGCTTTCTTTTGCATTTGTAAAAAGGAGCTTCCTTTTAATGCTTTAGGCCACTCTTATAACTCCTCGATATCTGATACCTTCTATTTGTCTTGAAATGCATGTCTGTCAGTAGCACAACCCTATCCTGGCCTTTGATTTCTTGATAATGAATTAACCTTCCATTATTTATCTTCAACTGGCATCCTTTTGTTTCTATCTATTTAAATTCAGCTCCACAGGAAAAGGGTTTTAGTATCTCTCTCCAATGTCCATCTAAAGTTTATCAAATTTCTCTCTCCTTATGGAAGTCCAGTCCATATACTCCCAAAAAAAAGGGATCACAATCTCTCTATCTCACGTGAAAATTCAATCCATAATCCAAGGAAGATTCCAAAAAAATAAAAAAGGCAGGATTCCTATCCTCTTTCTCTCCAATGTGAAATCCAACTCAATGAATCTCTCTCTCTCCCTCTCTCTCTCATACATACGCACACACACACACACTCTCCCACCCTTCCCCACACATCCATGCATAGCATGAGACATGGATTAGGTCTGGTATAAGTTCATTTATAGAGATAGCATCTGTTTGGAGCCTTCCTTGTCCTATTCAATATGATTGACCAAGGCGCTGGAATGATTGAGCATCATCCTTTTTGTTTCTATCCATAAATTTGTTGTACGCATGTAGTCTGTCTATGTTGCGCTGTTAGAATGAAACTAATTGCATTTGGTGACAGGTTTATCACTCAAGTTTTGTAGATGAAGAAGGCATTACTAAAGCTTGTGGGTGCCCTCTACTCCCCTTGAAAAGCCACATTAAAGGCCCTGCTCCAGTTTCTAATAAAGGTCGTCATATAAGCTTTTATGTACCTAAATATTATAGTTAAAAATTCTATAAGCCGAAGAGCTTATACACTATAGTGTAAGCCTAATGGCCCAGATTGAAGGAGGGGGCAATCTCGATGTCCAAGAACCATAGAAACATTTTGCCCAACATTTTACAACCACATCCATTTTATTACTTTTTATTTGGGGCACCTGGATGAGGCACACACTTGTGCAAACTTTGAGGTCCTTAGGACTCTTAATTTTCAGAAGAAAATTTCAACACGTAATGCAAACTGTTCATTTCCATATATATGTATGGAAACATTTTCCTGAGTTCATGTTAAGTGGGCTCTCCTTCCAAAATCCTTTTGGATCTTAAAATTAAGTCGATAATCTTGATTATCAAGATCATGAATCTGAAAAAAAAAAAAATTTAAATTAAAAAAAGATTATTATAGAAGATTTAAATAAATGGTCCAAGAACAATTTTGAAACATCTATTTTTAAGATTTAAAATTTATTATTTTTTCCAAATTCATGATTGTTGATTGTTTTGATTGAGATTGTTAAATATTAGATCCAAAATCCATGGATTTTGGAAGGACGCTGCACATGAATAGGGTGAGTCAGCTGAGGCAGTCATGGGCTTCATATTGTTTCTTAGTTTCAGAGCATTGAATTGATTAATTAATTTTATTCGACTTAGTTTTTGGCAGATAGGAGTGATATTGTGGATGAAGCCATCACTTTCTTTCGAGCAAATGTTTTCTTTAGGAACTTTGACATCAAAAGCTCTGCAGATAAGCTTCTCATCTATCTCACCCTGTACATAAACGTGGCTCTAAAGAGGCTTGAAGGTTGTAGAACTTTGGCTGAAGGGACAAAAGCCATCATTAATCTCGGGCTTGAGAAGGTCCCTGTGCCTGGAGAACCTGGGTTCCCTTTTGGTGGTCTATTTGCTCTTCCACCGTCGCAGCGAGAAGCAGGTCCTATTTCTTTATATCTTTACCATTGTTCAATGGAGTGGTATTTTATGAATGGTTGGAGATAAACTGTACCCGGGTGAATTTTTCATCGTGCCTTTCCAGTTGATCTTGAACCATTCATTAGTGGGAATGAACGGTTGATCTAGCCTTGGAGTACGATATACCTATACTCCAGAGGAGTTTGCTATAGTTCCCCTGTCCTTATCTACTTGAAGTATTACTTAACTCTAGCTCGACCACCACAAATGTTGTTGCTGCTATCATAGGGTAGAGAAAGTTTACCGTGCTTTATGTGATCATAGAAAAATCTTGGTGACTAATTATCACCGTCCAATCAATGTATGGCCAGTGGTGGACCAGGATAGCACCTAGCAGCACCTGGGTCATTTATATTCTGGTTCCTACTCCCTCTCAATGACTATTCATCATGTGATTTAGCTTGCGCACATGGATCACAACATATTTCAGTATTGAATTTTATACATCTTCAATTGTTGGGTTTTCTTGGATGTTGATTTTGAGCTATTGTTGCTTTGCGACAATAGATTTTGGGCTATTGGTTACTCTAAGCGGTGTTGTAATTGCAGAATTGTTCAGGAATTATCTTAAACAGATCAGAGAGGAAACCAGTGGGAGGTTGCTGAGGTGTGCATATCGGCCCAATGGCACCCCAAACAAATGGTGGCTGGCATTTGCTAAGCGGAAATTCATGAATATTATTGTTCCTTAAGTGTAGAAAGGTGATGCAATGCAGTAATCTATGATGTCTCATACCTGCACAAGATTTCACTGTTTCTAATTTCTGGATGGTTCTTCAATTCAATTTGTCTTTCCATGCCTAAGCATCTGTATTTGCAGGAATCCACTTCTCTCTCTCTAGTGTGTGCATGTGTACACGCACATATTTAGGTTCTTTTTCTCAAGTGTAACATAGTGGAGATTGGATATTTTTAAACCGGAAGAATGATGGTCAGTGCATGCGACGTGGAACCTGGATTCCAAACTCTGTTTGCCTTTCTCAAATGCAATGCTGTTTGATTTTCCAATGTAATGTTAGATAATATATTAATGATTGTATATGGAGAGCAATTTAATGAGAAAAGATATGGTACTTATAGCCTCACTAAGGGTATGACCCTTAATAGAGCATAATGATATACTGGGATTTGTGTGGCTTACTTCTATTAGTTGGGAAAATGTTTTTGACGATGATAATGATGGCAGCATGGAGAGCAATTTAAGGAATTTTTCTACCTGAGATTTGATAATGATGGCAGCATGGAGAGCAATTTAAGGAATTTTTCTACCTGAGATTTGTGTTTAGAGATTAGTTTATCCCTGTTGCAACTGCAAATTGTACTCGCAGGGTAGGGTTGTCAATGGACCAAGCAATTTGAGCTTGAGTGTGGTCTAGGTTGTCTTAGACCAGATAAAACTTGAGTTTTGCTTGAGCTTGACACAGGCTTGAACAACCGAGCTTGAACCAGACTTTAAGTAGAGGTGAACTTTGAGCTCGCCTTGGCTTGTTTTCAATAACTAACGCGTAAACAAGATGTAATTCATGCCACAACTGAAGGCAAGCCTATAATACATATTAGGGAAATTTATGATCTAGTCCGATCTTCAAAACTAGGTGATAGGTCCAATGTTTTGTTTTTAACATTCAAATCAACTTTTTGGGATCTTGTATTTCTATTTTCACGTGGTTTCAACATTCAATGTCCAAATCAGGGTAAATGGGAAATAAAAAACTCTAAAATTAAGACTTAAATGTAAAATAAAAAATCTAAGAATTTTTCATTTCTGAAAAATCAAGTAGGACTAAATTGCAAATTTGCATACAAACTACTATTATATGTTGTATTTTTTATTAGATGTGTGTCATATGTCGACTAATCCAACTCATGGTTAAGTGCTTTCTATAAATATTTCAAAATTAAATAAAAATAAATAGTATGTTAAATAATTTATCTTTTCGGTATATTTTGATAATTTCATGCGAGAACCATATTTCCCGCTGGTAGATTCCGGTTAAAAGCGGAATTTTTAATCAATTTTCGCCAATTTATTGGGAGGGCTTCAGTTTTTATGAAAAAAAAGAGGGCCTGCACTAATACTTCAAAGTTAAAAACTTCAAACGAAAGGGCATAGATCCTAGAACGTAGTGACCATTCTCAAATGAAAAAAAAATAAAAATACTCGAACTCCTTGTGTGCCTAGAAAAATAATGAAGTCCAAAGATTTAACAATTTTTATAGGGAAAGATGTGGGTATTAAAAAACTATAATTAAAGTTTTTTATTTTAAAAAGAATTTCTAAAACCTGGATCCAAAAATTCCTCTCAAAGAGCGATATTGATCGAGGGAGTTTTTGTACAGTATAGCGTCTCACAGGAGCATGCTATTCGCCCACCTCTCGAACGTATTTGCTGAGCACCCCACCCTCCCTCCTTCGCTCTAGAATTGCGTTTTCATGGTGAAAACCTATTTTCTCCCTTTCTACTCCGGTGCCGAGATCTTGCATTAAAAATGGCAGAGAAGAGATGGAAGTAGCAGAGACGCAAGAATGGTGGAACAAGGTGCGGCGTATGGTCTCTCTCTCTGGGATCGAGCTTTATGTGTATTGACACTCAGTTTCTAGTAATGGGTTGATAAGCCATCACCTGGGCTTTTAGGGTAACCTGAGGATGTTTGTTTCTCTAACCTGATTGTTGGTTCTGGATTTTTTTCATATTCCTTTTTTTCTTTAAAAGGTTTCTGAGAGTTATATAGGGTTTCAGATTGATGGATTTTGTCAAATTTTTTTAGTATTTTTTGAGGCACACTTTGGGGTTTCACTTTAATGAAATTTTGTGGTTTTTTATTTTTTTATTTTTTTTAAGGCTTCTTGGATCAATGTTGTGTTGCATGTGGATACTTTATGCCATTATTTATTTCTTTCAATTTGTTGAGTTACTTAACTATACTTCTCTACATATTTTGTGATTTTGTCGATAAATTCTGATTTTGTTCATCAAAATCTCAAATTTATGAAAATGCTGAAATATAGCTACATAGATTGTCAAACAACTATATATGTAAGGAAAAGACATACATTAAGACATCATATAAGCAAGATACATGGAAAGCCAGCAATGCTTTTATTCAGAATTTCAAAATCCTGAATATTCAGAGTTTCGTTTTCTCGAACTTACCCGAAAATCCTCTCTCTTGAAGACACTTTCTCTTTCAGTGCTTCTGTCACTAAATTGTTTGAGCTCCAGATCGTTATTTGTTTGAGAGGGCCCTAGTCACCACCCATTTGTGAATCTGTATGTTTTTTTGTCATTCCTAATATCTGCATGGTGTTTATACACGAAATGAATAAATGTTAATCTGTCATGACTTTATGATGTCTTGGTTAGATGTGTAAATGTATTTGAAATTTCCTTTTGTTCTATTTCAGTTTTGCAATGGCAAGTCTATGATATCTTGGTTAGACGTGTAAATGTATTTGAAATTTCCTTTTGTTCTATTTCAGTTTTGCAATGGCAAGTCATCATCGGATTCATATAAGTTGTTCTTCATTGCGTGGCTTTATTTCCTTTCTAATATCAGCTAGTTTGGTTATTTGTGTTGCTGTACCATCTTATGCTACTGAGGTCAGTTGAACAAGTGCATCCTATTTCTACGATATTTTTTTCTTAATTATTCTGACAACATACAATCATGGTGCCTTTGATTTGTAGTTGAGATGATTTCTGTGGTTCTAGCTGCCCTTACTTTCTCCATAGTTGACTCTTGATTTTTGTAACACAGTTTCTTGATGTCACTTGGAAAGGGTTTTCAATTTTGTCTGCATGATAACTTTGGGGTGATAATCGGGTCGGGTCTAACTGACGTGGGTCTGGGTCTTCCAGCCTAGAGCTAACAGGTTTGCATGGGTTCCGGGTCCAGTTGACCTGGACCGGGCCTAGTTCGAGTCTACCCTGAACCGTGTCGAGTCTCTACCCTAGACTTGACCCGATTATAGCTCTACAAAGCAGGCAACAATAGAAAATTCATATTTTATAAATGCAACCTCGTTTTGGTGACTGCTATTACAAAGATGGTGCTTCCTGGTGATTCTACTTGTGCTTCCATTGCAAGGGTTACATTTGAGATGGGTGATTAATTATTTGTGAATGTGATTTGGCGGGCATTGATCAAGTAATTATGATTGGTTCATTTCCTATACCTTGAATCAAATTAGTTACAAATTAATTATTTGTGTTGGTTGATTGGAACTGGACTACTTGTCATCTCTAGCTACATATATTATTTGAAGATTGTGAAATCTTTAAATGCACGGCCTTCTTATGTAGCAGAAAAGTATAGCATCGATTTTACATATTATAGATGATGTTATTGTTTTAATAGGGGGGTAGATTTCCTCCCCCTTTTAAAAGCCCTGGTTTTCACAGTATTCAGGTGAGTCGCTATAGAACACGCGCGAGTATCGTACAGGGTACATACTTGTTCCCTGTTCTGGGCAGCCTGCCGTGCCCGAGTAACTTACCCAAGTTTGAGTCGACCAGGGCTAGCTTTAACAAGGAAAGTGAAGGTAAACCTGCTTATAAAAATATATGGGAATGGAAATTCTAGCATTGGAAACAGAAGATTTAGGATGTTGTTTAATGTGATTGCACTAGAGAGTCCGACTTCGTTAGAGTTGCTGCCTCCATGCTTGCATGCTGTAAGGATATGAATCATTGAACAAAAAGCAAGCATAGTGTTCATGTAAGTAGATATATTTGTATCATCATCATCATAGCCTTTCCCAATTAATTGGGGTCAGGGGGTAGATATATTTGCATGAAGCCTCGAAATCATTGATAAAAAAGATGGTGAATTATTTGAAATTGTGGCATCCTTGGAACATGTTATACTGTTGCCTGAGAAAGATAAGGCTATTGGAAGGATTGCTAAAGTGACTTTGCATCCCTAATGCATATATGGTTGGATCAGCTCTATGTCGCAATGCTGATGAAGTGAACTTGATGGTATCGATTACCTTTGGAGCATAATTGAAGAGTAGGAAATTAAACTTCTAGAATTCTCTTTGTATTTTTATAAATTATTTTTTGGATTGTGTAAATCATTTGTTCTTATTGAACCTGGGACATTGCACTGAGGTTTGGATCTCCTTAATGTCTAGGATGGGTTTCCATTTCTTTTCTTTTTTCTTTTTTGCTTTTTGATTGGTCCCTTGTGGATTTTAACTTCTGTTGTATCTTATTGTTATGTCAACGGCGTTGTGAAGCCATTTAGTTGTATGTCTGATATATATTTGCCCAACTTCACATAGTCCTTATTCATTTCCCATCCACTTTGTAATTGTTTCACATAACTGTGGTTCAGATTATTAGTTACGTCATAATTGTAGCTCATGTGACTTTTTAGTTCCTTTTTTCAGATTTACAATTTCTTGACTTTGCAATCACAATATATGGATGTTGCCAGTTTTGACTTTTAGATTAGCGATGCTATCTAGTCATTTTGCTACACAAAACTCTTTATTGGCAACGGCTGAAGCAACATGTTCATATTCCATTTTGGAACAATTGATATAGCTTCTGTTCTTTGGACTGCCAGGGATTGTTTATCTATCATCAAAGGGTGAATATCCAACAAAGTGTGTACTTGGATTCTTCAGAATCGGCCTTTTGGTTTTTATTCCTACATCATTTCGATATAGTAGTTTGCCCTATACTATGAATCCCTCTTGGGTGCTCAGATAAATGCTTGGAGTTTTAGTTGGTGGAATCTTATAAAAGCGTAGGAATATCCAGGCAAGCGCCTGCTATTAAACGAGCGAAGTAGTGTCATGGCGACCTATGGGGGCAAAAATCCCCTCACCTGATTCAGGGTGGCACCTAGAAAGCCAAAGCAGTTACCTTTGGTAACATTTAGTTGTATGTCTGATATATATTTGCCCAACTTCACATAGTTCTTATTCATTTCTCATCCACTTTGTAATTGTTTCACATAACTGTGGTTCAGATTATTAGTTACTTCATAATTGTAGCTCGTGTGACTTTTTAGTTCGTTTTTTCAGATTTACAATTTCTCGACTTTGCATTCACAATATATGGATGTTGCCGGTTTTGATTTTTAGATTAGCGACGCCATCAAGTCATTTTGCTACACAAAACTCTTTATTGGCAACGGCTGAAGCAACAAGATCATATTCCATTTTGGAACAATTGATATAGCTTCTGTTCTTTGGACTGCCAGGGATTGTTTATCTATCATCAAATGGTGAATATCCAACAAAGTGTGTACTTGGATTCTTCAGAATCGGCCTTTAGGTTTTTATTCCTACATCATTTCGATATAGTAGTTTGCCCTATACTATGAATCCCTCTTGGGTGCTCAGATAAATGCTTGGAGTTTTAGGTGGTGAAATCTTATAAAAGCGTAGGAATATCCAGGCAAGCGCCTGCTATTAAACGAGCAAAGTAGTGTCATGTCGACCTATGGTGGCAAAAATCCCCTCACCTGATTCAGGGTGGCACCTAGAAAGCCAAAGCAGTTACCTTTGGTAACATTGATTGTTACCATTCTTTTGCCCTTTACAAGATATACCACTACGTAGAGAGCTGATGGCCTTTGTCCTTGAAACTTGTTGAGTTGAGATCATGATAGCATAGCTTCACTCGAGAGTCACATGCCTCCCTCGAATAAGATGAAACAGCATTGGCCATGGCTGAGAAATCCAATTTATTATGATTTTGAAAATCATACATAGAACTATAACTAGATCAGTAGTACCTAAACATTCTCTAATCTGCAATTTGAACTTCTTTAATCATGTTGTAGTTTGGTCATTCCTCGGTGTTGCTGCCTTCATCGGTGATCCTCTTGGTCTCCATGAATATGAAATTGTGGGTCACCAGAGTCTGCCGTCACCATGATACTTATCCTGTTGATACCAACTCAGTGTTTATCAGCTCCCTCCTTTGCTTTCTCTGTCTATTGCACCTTGAGTGTGTTGAGCAATTTTAGAGCCCTATCTTGGTCTCTTACTATTCAAACATGGGTTCGATTCACGCTCCATGTTATGAGTAATATTTACCATCTGGAAAGAGGAAAAAACAGAATCTTTATCGGTTTATCTAAATAAATGCGTTGAAAAACAGCAGATGTATCGAACCTTTCAATGAGATAGTGATTTTTCAATTCTCTCAAAATGGAATCTGTTCGAAACATATATGCCATGGTTCCTTTCTTTGACGGTGCAAATATATAAATTTCATCCTTTTTTCTTGCCTTTGCATGGCCATGAGGGCTTCTTCTTTGGGAAATCCCTTGACCCCACATGAGCTATGAGGTTTTGTTATGATGACATGAGTTCTGTGCATATTCAATGATTCAAAAGTGAGGAAACCATTAGAAATTGGATAATTGTGCTAAGATAGCATGTGATTTTATCATTGAATTAACAGTGTTGAAGTTGGTGGCAGTTTTATGATAGCCTTTTGAAAGAAGATTTGAGTCACTGACTTTCAAGCTGGGTTTGGTTAATCTTCAGACCAACATAGAGAAGATTTAGGATGCATAATTACAATACTTTTGTTTCTTGTGTATCATTGTGTGTTTCTTTGTTCTTTTGTTGTTTTTAACTAAGTTACTGTTAGATGCCTATATGGTTTTAGGCTAGGCACTTAGGTGGTCGCCTCGGCAGGCATGTTTAGCTCCTATACTTCAGAATTATGATATATTTGGAAGACCCCTAAAGGTATCATTTATTACAATCTTGTGGTTATAAATGAATCGCACATTTTGTTTAGTCTTAAGCAGTGGTTTAAAAAACGGATCGGTGCCCCGGATCGGGCACCTCAAAAACCCATCCGGATCGGTGAATCGGCGATCAGGATCGAGAATAGGCCGAATCGGTCTGATTAAGCCTTAAAAAAAATCCAAAAAATTTATGAAAATTCATTATAAATGTTATTTTTTAAGAATCCAATAAGAAATACAGGTATTACATTATTAACTTTCATTTTTAATCAATTTGCGAATAATTAAGAGGTTCTTTCCCTGTATGAACTTATGTTAACCATTAAATTTGCATCACATAAAACAAAAAACATAGAATTACCATGGATAAAGTATATAATCATACATAGACTACAATAAATAATGGATTAAATCGATGAAAAATGGCCACTAAAATCTCGAATCGGCAGAAAACCATAATCCACTAAAAAAAAAAAAACCAAATTATTACAACCTAACTAATTATAATCCAAAATTATTACAACCTATCTAACTATAGTATTATATATTGCAACGAAAATTGTTGGTTTATATTTTATTATATAAATAATAACAAATTTAAAATATTTTATTATATCATTTAATTTAAAATGTATTATTGACAACAGTAAGAAAAATAATACATTACAAGATTTATAATGTAAATAAATAAATAAATAAATAAAATATTTGATTATCAATATAGAAATTATTTGAATGCGCATCAATTTTCGAAATAACACTTCAAATTTTCAAAAAAATAATTTTTTAGAATTCTAGAGTAAATTTAATGGAAGAGATTGTTAGAGACAGAGAAATATTTCAAATGTGTATGAATCATATCTTAAAATTATTATTCCTAAATTTATGTTAAAGCTTACCATATTATAAAAATAAAAATTATAATTAGATCAGTTATTTCTAGTTTGTATTAAAAATATTTGTTTTATTAAGAAATATCTTTTATTTTTTTGACAAGAAATACTCTTATTTTTTTTACGAGAAAATATGACATTTGTTGTATTACCTTTTTTTTTTTTGACAAGAAGAAAAAGATGTTAAATTACCTTTTTTTTTTTTGCTTGTTGTATTACTTTTTATTTTTTTCATGATATTATTTTCTTCATTTTACTTTTTTGAAGACAAAAGTAAAAACATATCTTCTTTTTATTTGTTTTTTATTTGTTTTTTTTATGATATTATTATTATTATTATTATTATTATTATTATTTTTTTATGAAGACAAAAAGTGAATTTTGCACAATAGCGTCCCAACTGGGATTCAAGCTTGGGACGTCACGCATAGAAACACTGCTTCTAACCACTGCAACCTTTCACACGCTGCTGAAGAGTTCTCTACAATAATTGCCTATATTACATGAATTTTCACCATAATATATCTTTGGGCAAGTCCCACATCGAAGAATTGGAGAAAGTTTATACAGTATAAATACCTTTACAAAAGCCTAAACGTTGGTGCGATGGAGAGAAAGGGTACGCCTGCGGTAACATTTTGAACAAAATTACGAAAATGTCCTCAGTTAAGGACTCGCCCTGTGACGTCACGAAACGGCTGGAATCGTGTAATCAGCATCGGAAATCGTGATTTATGACGTAATCGGAGCAATTCAATGTTCCAAATTGCCGATTCTCTTCTAGGATCAGGCGATTCCCGGTTTTACAGAAGAATCGACACGGGATGACTGATTCTCGTATTTACTAGGGGAAGTCCGTTGCGTCTCGCTGATTTTTAAAACGCTGGTCTTAAGAGTGTTACATGCATCACCACTTGCATGATAAAAACTAATAAGTGGGAGAAATAAGATGTTGGATTATTTTGCCTAGAACTTTTTGTGTCCCATGCCTAGCATCTTGTTAGGTCTGCTATGGACTCGAACCCAACATGCTTGCAGTTCTCTTGAATTCTTGTTTCCATCCTATTTTTCTAAGGTGATGTTTGGGATGGTATTCTAGTCTTTCCAGAACATGGATCTGAAATCTATTAAGTTTTGTTGAGTATTACAAATTTAGAACACTGATTTTGTATTTTTTCCTATGATAGTTTCTTTCTACTTAATGTTTATTCTTGGGTTTATGTTTGCTTTTGGATCTCAAGTTTTTCTGGGTGGCTTAATGTGGTTGCCTACGGGCTGGTTGGTATTCGTTCCTACAGTTGGAATTACTTGGTTAGTTGGTTCTAGTTGGGAAGAGCTGTGCTGAGGTGCCTCTAGACGCCTAGATGGATTCCCACTTCATTATAACTTTTTTGGTGCTATTGTAACTTATCCTTGATTCGTATACATGTAGATCGATCTTAGGAGAAAAGGGGCAAGACTATATAAACCAGTAGGAAACAAGATGTCTATCATAAAGCATTCTGTTATTCTGCCAGTCTCCCTATTTGTCATTATTCTTTTACTTCACAACTTACTCTAGAATATAATGGAAATATAAATTCCTTCTAATTAACTAATCTTTTGTAGAGAGTGGGTAGTAGAAATACAAATATTTTTGAATAACTTGCTATGAAGATATTGGTTGTTTATTGGGTGAAGAAATTGGGAAATGGGGGCAAATCTGAAGTAGGAAATAATGAAATATGACATTCCTCTAACTGATCATTTGTGGAGAGTAGGTAGTAAAAAGCAGAAATATTTTTGTGAAATTTGAACCATGAAGATATTTGGTTGTTTATCGGGTGAAGGAAATAGGCATATGTAGGCAAGTCAGAAATAGGACAAATCAGCGATCTTAATGTAGAAGGAATTGTGTACATGGAGAGGAACTTGAGAAGGTGTTTTTTGCTCTTTTATGTTTAGTTTTAGTTTTATCAACACTTAAATTTGACTATAAAATTAATAGACCCTAAATGTGGATACTGCAGCACCGAGACTTCCCTCACATGTGATGTTATGCAAGTACCCAGATACATATGTATACAAATTGACAAAGTTGATGTAATTTATACATCCCTATGTGAATTGAGTTGTGGGACTGGTTGCCGTGGACTTGCCTAGCATAACTACAGCTAACGTTCTTCCTATATTTCTTGTAAATGGGAGATGCTGCCGAATGGATTTCTGCAGGTTCTCTTCTTATGAGACCAAAAAGCCAAAGGTCTTCACTTGTTAATTTTGTAACACTTTTGGTTTCTTTTTCTTGTTGGGATTAATTCCGGCTATATTCCTAATTTGATGATCATCTTCTGAATGGGGAACTCTGCCATGGCCGTTCCCAAGCTTGGATAAAGAAAGGAAGAGGGTTGTGATAGGTTGACATCCAACATAAAACTTTTTCCATGTCTATTTCATGAATCATGATCCTATGTTATAAATAGATGGTTTGGCCCTTGATAGAGCGGAATGACAGAACAAGATTCGTGTAGCTGACCCGAAACAGTTGGGCTAAGGCTCGGATGATGATGATGATGAGATGACGTTATTCTTTTTGTAAAAAGTGGTTAGAGAAACATGTGCAAGATCGCATGATATCATTGCCCGGGAAGGAGTACGAAAGAACATTTCAACGGTCCATAAAGATATATGCACTATAAAGAGTAGGGTCTGCTTTGCTACTGCCTAAACTAAGCAGAAAGCTTCAACATATGCTGTTGAATGAATAGTGAGTACTCCCAAGTGAAATGAGCGTTGTTTCCAATACTGAAAGGAGCACCAGAGGAAGATCACTTTAACAATCTTAAGTAAAGAACATAGCAGCATGGAATGCCAAGTTATCAATCTGAGTGGTAGGTCCGCACTGACGGAGTATTTGTTTGGGAGGATCTCGGTTTACTTATTCATAGCACTCTCATATCCGAATTAATATCTGAAAGGTGGTGGAAGCCTCTCTAGACTTATTCTTCTGGTTCCAGGACAAGTCCAGCCATCAACACAATCTAGAAGCTTCTGAAAAGGTTCTTAAAATGAAGGATGAAAGATGTGGGTGTTATGCTGTCCTTGGAGCCTTACTAAAAGTGGATTGAGCTGCTATGGGGGGAAGATCCATTTGTTGTGGGTTGTTTTGTTGTGTACTACAACATTGGTGTTCTTTCCTTAAGGATAACTCTGTTCGCCATACCCCTTAAAGATCAAGTGGAACCATAAATGCATGCTTATTTTCAGGCATTGTGTGTGTGTGTGTGTGATAATACCCTCTTCTTTCCATCATTCTCCAATTTCAGCAAACCGGATGCCATGCATGATAGCTTATGCCACAGTGTTGGAATCTTGGCCCTAACTCTTAATTTGACCTCTATATCATAACTAGACTATGATTTGACTTTCATGTGGAAGCCTTGTCCCTTTAACTAACTCCAGGATTCATGTAGTTTCCTGGTGACAACTTCAAAATGAATTGGTTTCAATCCAAAATGCCTAACGGACTTTTCTTCTGACTATTTTTTCGAACTGTTAAGCAGGATTACAAGATTGTAGCTGGCATATTGGTTAAGAAAAACTGAAATTGCACAAAGAATGCACTTCTTGTTTGAAGATCTTCCATTTTATTCATGAAACTGGTACTGGTACCTCTAGATTGGAATGTGTCTCAGAACTTAAAAATTTTGTACAAGATTAATTCTAAATTCAGTCAAGTGATTTAAACTTATAGGGAATCGGCACACCATGGTCATGGTGTTGACAGCTGCAGCACATCATCTAAGGTTCATTTGCCTTCCTCACCCACCCAAAACAAAAGTGATTGGAACTTCTGCTTCTACATGGCTATCTAAAGTCCTTAACAACTTCTTAAAGGCATTTCTGAAAATTCTAGTTTCATGGAAAGTCTTTCACGAAAAGTCTGATATAACGAGCAAATATCTATCTTCTTTTTTAAAATATTTCTTGGAGTTATTACGAGTTTGTTAATTCTCTATTTTCTTCGTTATTGGAATGGCAATGGTTTGTTGCATGATTAGTAATTAGGCTGTTAGAGTGAATAAGCGTTCAATAGACGTCATCCATCTATGGTTTAATTCTCGACTATTAGACAAACATGTTAGCAAAGTGTACAACACTTATGACAAGCACAACAAGGCCTTATCTTTGTAATACAAAAACAAAACTTTTATAGTTTGCACGCTGTATTGTAAGTTCCTTGGTTCCACATTGCTCACTTGGGTCTCTTTGTAGTCACAATGAATTTTGCCTTGTTAGATCCTTGTGGTCCCCTACTGTTAATACTGCCCCTGGAAGAATGATCTGATATGGATAATTGATCTTCTGCATGCTTATTTTTGACGTTTTAACATGGAAATGAATTATATATCTCATCATTTTTCTCATTCCATAGATTTTTGATGTTATAGATAATTATTTCCTGCATTCCTCTGTGCTTGGTTTGAAGGCATTCAACTGTTCATTTTCAAGTTGCACTTCTTTCAGGTCAATGGGACTTATGCAACAACATATTTTCATGAATCCAGTACTTCAACTTTAGTTTGTTGTCTTCCAAGCTCCGAGAAGCTTCTCATTGATTATGCTATGAGGAAACATGGTTTTCCATTAGATTCAGTTATTTATGGATCCACTATAGTGCCAAACATAGGTTCCCAAGAGCCTTGTAAACAGATGGAGCTCAATCTTGGTTCAATCCTAAGTCTGAGAACTCTACGGAGGCAACTGATTGGGCAAGGTTCTCATCGCCAATTAGCTTCTTCCATTGTGTTTGACATTCAAGCAAATGGGCCCGACCAGCTCCGAGTACATTCTTGTGAACTAGTTTTAATCCAAAGGCTGCAGAGTGGAGTGTTTGCAGACCCCTTTGAGCTACAACACCTGGTTCGACGTGGTGGTAAGACTAAATATCAAATTAATTCGGACTCTTTTTCCCCTTGTGTGGATTGATCTGGTTCCTGGTACTAAGTGGCTCTGCCTTTTTTTTCTTTTTTTTTTAAAGTTTTTGTTGATGTTGGTGTTTTTGGAGATACGAATCTAGAGTTACCTTCAGCTCATTCAGGTCAGTCGGTTATTGAGGTTCATGTAAGTATCGATTGGGATAGCATCTTAGCAAGACAAAAGAGAGAACTGGAAATCGCTGTTGAGCTGCCCCTACATGCACGCTACCCTGTAAGTTTTTTCCTTTTCATTGATTTTCATGTTCTTTTGTCATTATTGTTACATTCTCTCAGGTCAATTATATGCAACGTCATATATGGGTCTTTGGTAAATGGCTGGTTTTTCTAATAATCTTACACTCTGGCAGTAGCCTTCAGATCTTTGTCCAAATCATCTTCCTAACTCGAGAGGAAACAAATACTTCTTTAACATCCATTTTGCTAAGCCAAAAGATTTCTTACTCCTGCAGGAGTATACTATCTATCTACTCCCTCGAGCAAAACTTTAACATCCATTTTGCTAAGCCAAAAAGATTTCTTACTCCCGCAGGAGTATACTATCTATCTACTCCCTCAAGCAAAACTTACACTAGGAGTATCTTCATATCCCAAATTTTGGGGATGTGAGAACCTGGCAACCAATCTCAAAAGAAGTAAAATAATAATAAAATCTCTCACTCGCTATGTGCCTAAAGAAAATGGCATACAAGATTGCAGTGGAACCATCCAATTTTTGGAGGGAATGATCTTTGAAAATAAATCATTTAGTTATACTTAGATGGATCCCAAATTTCCCCAAAAAAAAAAAAAGAAAAAGAAAAAAAGAAGCTCCCAAGTGTTTTGCCCGATGGAGCAAATGTATAGTATGCTGGTGAGGGAGCACAGTATACACACTCTTTTGCTAAAGGGGGGCCTTCTGTTTCAATTTTCCTTTGTTATTTGTTATAAAAAAACAAAAATTATTTTGCTGTCTTGTTCTTGTTTCCCTGTAGCAACTGCAGGGGAGTTCAAGTTTTTATTTGCATTTCTTTGGATATCTTTTGATTAATAATGCTTGAAAAATTAATGAGAACCTTTATAAAAGTCCTAGTAGATTCAGGATTCCTACCTGATTTGTTCACTTTTTTTATCAAAGTTGACTTGGCGGCTCAGTGGGACTCATCTATATAGTAAGATTGGTCCAATAAAAATTAACTCCAAAAAAAGTACTGGTTAAGTCTGATCAAATAAAAATTAATTATAAAAAGGGACTGGTTCAATAAATAATACAACTTTACTAAAAAAATAAATGCATATTAGAACTAATAATTATTCAAAATGTCAAGGTATAAAGATTGGCAAAAAAAAAAAAACAATGATGTTGATTTGGGGTGTTGTTTTGCCTTCATCAGTCACACCCTTTAAGCTTATGAGTAATTCCCCTACGTGCCTTACTGCATGTGTTTCTATAGTACCAACCCAATTAGTCTTCTATGAGCATTGAGTGGATACTATTCTAGTTACATTCTTATTAAGGCTTCAACCTTAAATGCAGCCTATTGGTGAAGATAGTCATGCTACAGTTGAAATTGTGTTGTCAGATTCCATTATTTGTTGTAAAAGGGGAAGTATTGACGATAAGGAGTGTTCATGGTTTGGTGGTGCAGAAGCCACAACTTCAGATGTAGTTCAGTGGCGAGTACCGTGTGGAAATGAGGTACATTCGGTCTATGTATCCACTATAACAGCATTGTCAGCTTCGCTTTCTGCTTTGGTAATTGTTTATGCTTCTTTGTATGCATCAAAGTCCAAATAAAAGCTCAATATGATCATAGTTTTAGCTTAGTGGAAAAGATGAGCATAACCTTATTTTCTTTCTTTTCTGTTTTATTTTTCATTTATGATTCATATCTTAGCTCCATTGTTGTGGGCAAAACATTCAAAATTTGGTACCTGTTTATTCTTTTTTTTTTTTTTTCTTTTTGTAATGAGTAATGCAGAGTTACCAAAATTGCTAGATTTATTTTAAAATAAAAAATAAAAGAAAATGCTAGATTTGCAGATATTTCAACATTGCAGTCAATTAACCTTATGTCTGTGTACAGTGTGATGTGTATATGCTGCATCTTGATGAAAAACTTGCAGAGAGGGGATAATTAGTTCTGGTCTAGTAAGAGCCATTATTGTAACATTAAAGCAGCAATTAAAAGATTGCTGACTTGGGCTTGGACTTGCCCGTCACTTGCTGGCAGGGTGCTAGGTAGGGCTGCCAATGATCCGGGCCAGGCCTCAGCTCCGTGTCAGGCCTGAACTTCGGGCCAAATACAGGCTTTGTGCCGGGCGCGGGCAAGGGCAGATTTGTTCCGGATTGGGCTTTAAACAGGCTGGCCTGAATATCACGCAACCCTCCTTGCCCCTCTCCGCTTTTCTCACTTCCCCTACGGGAAGCCCTCTCCTCTCTCTCTCTCTCTCTCTCTCTTGTGGAGTGGTCTCTCTTCTCTCACTCTCTTGTAGAACAGAGAGTGGTCTCTCTCTCTTCATCT